TCTCTAAGAGCGCGCTCTAGACGCTGCCTCTGCAACTGTATCTCGGCTCTAATGAGATCATCAGATTTTTCGAGGAAGATGGGATCGATCTGTGCTCCCGCCGAGCCGTATGCCCTGGCCGAAGAGGCACTGGCTTGGGGCGCTACAGGAGCGCCCAAGCCGGGTACGTAGGCATTGGGGACGTGGGCAGAGATGGCGGGAACGCTGTTGTTTTGACGTTGGACAGCTTGTTTTGGCGCTTTGGGCGCGCCTATGGGATGGGAAGGGGATGCAAGGTTAGAACGGGAGGGCTTGCCGGACGAATGATGCAGGACTTTGATCCTGGGATGGGTGCCAGCGACGATGGCATCTCGAAACTGCACAATCTTCTCGCACTGCTGGATCTGGTAGAGGACATCCTCCGCTGATGGATGACTTGCTGGCGGCAAAGTGCCTCTTGCAACCTGGCCTGTAGCCATGGCGAGACTAGGGTCAGCGACGCGAGGCGAAGGCTGGCCCGAGAGTGAAGCTCGCGACGTGGTTTGAAGACTCGAAATCTCGAGTGACAGAGAGTAGCATCAAGCGTTGGGGACGAAAGAGGTCAGAGAACGACTCGAAAGCGTGCCGTGGTGCAGTTCCTAGGACACGACAATCTTCACGGCAGTGCCAGTGTGGGATGGGGATGCGTGGGGGAAAAGCGGCCAACAACAGCAGATAGCGACGTGTTTTGGGGAGTCTCCGATCACGAGCAAGCTTCATCAGAGACAAGATTTAATTCTGGCTCTGGCTGATTACAGGGGCGCACGGACGGATACTCGGTTACGGGGGCTGCGCCAGTGACTTAGCGCCCCGTTAGTGTTCGCATCACCATCGCGATGTGGCTGGTGCGGCTGCGGCTGCTGTGGCTGGTCCACCAGCTGTAGGGAGTGGAGACGGCCATCACATTCCCCGCGGCGACGACCCCACGACTGGAGCCCCCGGGCCAACATTGGATGCACCTCACGTCAATCGAGTTAGGCGGCCGGTGACTCAAAAAAAAACGATTGAACAAGTTCATGATTCATACGTTCATGCGCAGACGGGGATTAAATGACCAGACTTCTCTGCGCTTCAGCCACAACTTCTGTCTTCATGATCACCAGACTCTCCAGCTCACTCGGAACTTTCATCTCAACCCGAACACGCCTCACTCCGATCTTGACCATACGACCCCAAACGGCTTCAAGATTGATCACATCAGTTGCGGCCCCTTCGAAGACCCTCCAACGTAGACGAAGGCCGACGGCAGATCGCATCGTACTGATCGCATATACGAATCAAGCATTGAACAAACGCGCCACCAGCACCATGACGGGGGATCAAAGCCAGACCAATGGAGCGCCAGCTTCCAAACCAGTCCTATTTTTGTAAGCTCTTTGAGCCAAGGCCAACATCTCTGCCTTGTACTGGATTATCGAGACTGACATATTGTTGAAGCGATATCGACAACTGTCTATACCCTAGGAGTAAGTTGCGCCAAGTTCAACCCGGTACATCGCGCCGTGTGACCTCGGACTGATCGGCTTAGAATCTCAAATCCAGGACCTCATGGCTGAGCTCATTGATAAGTTCTTCTCAAACCACCTCTCCCTCTCCTGGGACGATGCTGTGAAGCTCCACAAGGAGTACTACACCAACTACGGCCTCGCCATCGAAGGCTTGGTCCGCCACCACGAAATTGACCCCCTGGAATACAACTCCAAGGTCGACGACGCCCTGCCCCTGGAGGATATCCTGACGCCTGACCCAGAACTGCGCCAGCTGCTGCAGGACATTGACCGTAGCAAGGTCTCTGTGCGCCTCCTCACCAACGCCTACAAGACGCATGGCCAGCGCGTAGTGAAGCTCCTGGGCATCGAGGACCAGTTCGAGGGTCTCACGTTCTGCGACTATGCCGAGCAGCCGCTGACGTGCAAGCCTGCCAAGGCGATGTACCTCAAAGCCATGCAGCACGCAGGCGTCGAGAGGCCGGAGGACTGCTACTTTGTCGGTACGTGCTCTCGTTCTTGTCGATTGTCGATCGGCGATTGAATTAGTGACTAACATGCTGTGCAGATGACTCTTACCAGAACTGCAAGGCCGCACAAGAATATGGCTGGACGGCAGCGCACCTGGTCGAAGAGGGCCTCTCTGTGCCGAGGACGCCGGCGTCGCAGTACCAGATCCGCCACTTGCAAGAACTAAGGAACGTTTACCCCCAGTTCTTCAAGTCGGCCAGCTCCTAGACTTTTCATAGCGCAGCGACATAGTGTCTTTAGACTACAGTATTATCATGTTTGTTTTTATCCTCGCAAGGGTCGGGCAGACGAGTTTGTAAATTCATAGAGGCGTCCAAAGACCAGTTCATTCTAGCCGGGTATCATGCTCTCTCTCTCTCTTCCAAGGTGCCCCAGTGCCCACGCCCTCCAAAACAAAACAAAAACGCCGTGACGCCTCAAGAGCCCATGCAGTCATCTTTTCTTGGCAGCCGTCGGCAGCTCACGGCCTGCGCACGTTCCGTATCACCTCGTCCAGCCTGACGAGGATCTGGTCCTTCTCCTTGATGGCCTCCTGCCTCTGCACTTCCGCAATCTTGAGCTCCTCCTCCAGCTCGCGCACATTCTTCTCCTGGTCGGCTTCGCTGGTGTCGAGACCGGGCAGGGTCGAGATGAGGACTTCGATCTGCTGCTCCTTGACGATGAGGTCGCGCGACAGCTCGAGCAGGCCGGCGCGGAATTCTTCGGCATCGGCTGGTTCCACTGGAAGATGTCAGATCGCGCCGGTCAACGATCCATGTGATGTTTTCCCGACCCTACCTTCGAGCTGGCTGGCACCCTTAGTGACATCGCGCACCTTGTCCTTCGGCCCTAGGACCTCGAGGTCATGGTGGCGGTTGACGTAGTGGAAGCAGGCGACGAATTGCTGGGCCAGCTGCGGGACGCGGGTCAGCAGCGATCTTGCGGAGAATGCGTCTTGGACTCTGGAGGATATACCTGGTCGACAGCGTCCTGCAGCTGCGTGAGTCGATCCGTCATGTTGGCGGCGCAAACGGTCGCATTCGTGGTGCCGAGGCGTGAGGTTACGGTAAGGCTGAGGGATTGGGGAAGTCATTGGCCCGTGAGGTTGATGGGTGGTGGTTGTCGAGTGGGGCAGCACATCGGCGGGGGGTCTTCACGGGCACTTCAGCGTGCATGGTGGCAAAGCACCATGGGCGCCCTGCAATGCCTTTGCCCAGCATCAAAGACAGGGTTAGACTTTGCGTGAAAAAAGGTATAACCCTATTGCATGGATAATCTCTTTACTTTTTTCCCCTCTCTTTTCTTTTTCTGTTTTCACTTGTCGCAGGCTTGACCACGTTACGTTGGCAGAGAATCATTGTGCTTAATGTAGGCACTGGCGTTGAGATTTGGACACATGAACAAGTCGTCCGTTGATCGTCCAACATTCATCCTCGCCACCTGAAGTGAGCATGACTGCTAGTAAGCAGCATACAGCCTATTGAAACCCGAGCGCAATAGAAAGCCTGGCGTCTCAGAAGATCATCAAACTCCATATTCGCACAGAACCAGTGACGCGCAAAGACAATGGTGTGACTTACCAGGTGTGACTTACCTAGGTGTGACTTACCTAGACAGGACAATGGGGTCGCCTTCTTTAGGCATATCCTTGGCATTCATTCGCGTATTCGGGCTCACCTGTTTGGCTTCGTAAGAATGAATTGTATTTGAGCTTCGTTGTGCCGTAGTAGGTATGGTTCTTCCAGAGCAGCACGACCTCAGTTCGTGGAAATATTGTACTCGCCATGTTCAGGAATAGAGCTCTAAAGAAGATCACCCACTACACTACACTCGTAGTGTAATGTAGTTTTCTGTTACCGTTCTACCCGCCAAGAAAATCTAGATTAGCTACCGTACGATCATTCCGAATATCCACATAGCAACCGGTAAAAGCCAGCTTTCGACTATGCGTGAAGATTATGAGACTGCTCGAGGACATGTGAAATTTCATCCTTCTGGTAGATCTGATCTGGTATACTGGATGATATTGTAGACACCGGACGAGTTGAAACATTGGACGAAATTGCGACTCATAGTGAGTTACGAAAGCTTCCTTCAAACAACACTTCACCTGGTTCTTCCTAATGTGCAATCAAAGCCAGCATGTAAGCAAATAGTCAGCTGCCTCTGCGAGCGCTCACGACCAAAGTCTGTCGTGAAGTCTTGTTAAAGCAAATATGACGAGGACGCGCTATACCTAGAGGAAGATTGACGAGAGGCACTGGGATGGAAGGCTCCGCTGGAAACCTTGGTCATATTACCTTCGTCGGCTCCGATTTGAACAGCTGAGAGGATGATCGGGTGGACAACCGAGAGGAATTAAAACCGCGACCTGCGACCACTTGGGCGTAGTCGAGGGAAAACTCATGAACATCAAGCATCAATAGGGACACAGAAGACGGACCCGAAAGTCATACCGTTGATTTACACGATCTCAATATCATATAAAGCTCGCGTAGCACTCTCGCTGCGTGTGATATGCGACTAACAATACACGCCGCAACACCGGCAGTTCCCATCTGCCCAAGCCTCACCACCAGGAGGCCACTTCTTTCAATACAGAAAATCATACAACCAGCAGACAGCGACTTGATAGCGCCCATGACCGCCAGTTTTCGAGGTCCTTCCTACACCGATACCCTCTTCCGCCGGAAGACCCCTTCCCAATCCATGATGTACACAAGGCGGCTCCGACACGTTGGCCCGTTGTCGCGAACAAAGCAACTTTGACGACTGATTTTGTTGGCGAGGTACGCGCTGACGGGTCCCCGAAGAGTGCAGACGATGCGGACCACTCTCAGTTGTATCCGTTTAATATCTGAACGAAGCTCCTCAGCAAATGATTCGGACCGGCCATTGTAACAACAGTGTGTGTAGCTGAGAGACTGGTTCGCGCGCGTGCCGAGACGAGCGGGGCGGGTTGCTGCGGAAGGGGAGGAGCGTTGCTTACACCTGCTCGGCTCCCCAACCAGCGTCGGCTTCGCGCATGTTGGCGGGTGGCTCGATCTGGGGGATGAACTCGAGAACGACGTAAGAGACGCCGATAATGCCGACGATGGAGCCGGCGATGATGCGCAGTACGTTATCGCTGAGGAGGATGGAGCCGATGAAGATGTAGACTGCGCGCATGTTAGTCCTAACAGTTTGCGACCGTGCACAGGAGTGCAGGGCTCAACTTACAGACACCACGGCCTAGGAAGGAGAAGAGGAAAGAGGCATAGCGCGAGACTTGCGGGGGGATCTGGAACTCTGCGATCTGTGAGAAAGGTACGGCTTGCGTGGAGGGTGCGGTATCACGTACCAAGAAGGGCCGTGCCTGTGTACGATGAATTAGCGAAAATGTCCATGTCTTGTGGTCCTGGTTCACTTACAAAGGCCGAAGATGATGACGTAGACGCCAACGATGATGCCCTGGCTGTGAGCGACACATGTCAGTGCTGTGCTTCTCGTGTCGGATCGCGATCTCTCCAGGGTTCCGCGCCGTATTGGGCGCTCTGTTCACGAGCCGATAGGAGCCGCCGGTGGCACGTCCATCAATTGCTCGAGTCAGATGATGCCCCATACGAAGCATTCCAATTTGTAGATCGCGATCGGACGAGGTCGGACGTACAAGCTGAAGTTGAAGAATTGAGCAATGCCGCCCAGGACCATAATGGTCGCAGTGACGAGGTTGACGATGCGGCTGCACAAAAGGCGCAATTGTCAGCAATGGCCGTCCTCCAGTGGCTGGCCCCTCAGCGACAACTCACAAAGCGTCGGAGAGCTCCATTTTGAGATGAAAGGGAGTGAAGCCGGTTAGAAACTTGAGTTGGTGGTCGGTTGGACAAGTATTTGTCGAAGCGGAAGCCTAGTCACGGCGTCCAGGCAGCGGAATTCAACGAGTCTTGATAGGGTGAGGGTTGTCGCAAAGAGGCGAGGGATTGTCAGCCGATTCGTGGGGGGGCGGTCGGGTGATGGCTTGACGAGTGGGCAGTGTTGGTGTAGAATAACAAGATGGTCAGGAGCTGGAGCCGATTGAAGACGAATGATGAAATGGGTGCGAGGCGAGCTCCTCCTGTCCAAGCTGGTCAAACCTGGCAACCCAGTCCGAGCTCAAGATCTACGCTTACCTAACCCAGACTATACACGTAAGCGGGTTCAACGTCAGCCTGTGAACGTGTGACAGATGCCCCTTATTGAAACCTCTGTGAACACCGTGCGCCCTGTCAGTGCTGACGTTTTCTTCTTCTTCTTGTTTAAATTCATCTCGCATGGTGTGGTATGTGTGCGGGCGAGCATGGAATCTCAGCAGTACGCCATGCCATATCGCACATCTTCAGAGCATGGTCTATCGCCTTCAGATGCCGTAGTACTCAGCCGAACGAACCTACTTTCCTGTGGTTTTGAGTCGTTCCTGATCTGCACCATTCATGTCGAGGGCTGGGGGTCAACACCACGAGCATGCCATCCACGTGTCAGCCTCAGAGGATGGTAAATGAACAATAATACGTAGGAAAAGTCCTACACACGGCAAAAGGAAAGCCGGAGCGTATAGTGCGCCATGGATGTTCAAACAGAAGTCAAATGCTATCAGAATCACTGCAAAGCTCCTTTCAAAGAAGGATTCTTCTAAAATACGGCGTACCGTCATGACAGCTCCGTGAGAAGCATTCAACTCCGTGCCAGAACCTCCCATTTTGTCGGTATCTCTTCCATCATGCGCAAACGAAACGCCAAATCTAGGATGTCGACCACAGCTTGCCGTTGCTGTTGTTTCCCTTGCTCCGCCAAAATGCGCCAGCAGCTGTCCGGGCCCTCTCCTGATGCTAAAAGATACAAGGTTTCCCATCCCAAGACTCCGTTTCTAAACAGTAGAGGAGCCTTTCGGCGTGCCTCCTTTTCCAAGGTTCTTCGTAGCGTTTCCGTCATTTCATGGCCTGGATAGGCTTGCTAGTTCTCTTTCTTTCGCCGCGAGGGCTTCCCGCATCCTGTGTGCTTCTTGCTCCAGGGCCATGCGCCGGCCCCCATCGTCTTGTACTGGTTGCGATGGCGGGTACCCGCTGGCTGTTGGTGAAGATGTGCCTCCTGTATTGGAGTAAGATCCAGGGCTTGGTGCAAAGCCCGGTGACACGCGAGTGGCTCGAGAATACATCTCTCCCGCCTCTTCGCTCTGTGATTGCGCCATGTTTGAAGGGTTCAGAATTGATTTGATCGAGGACAGCCGCTTTGAGCTTTCCGGTCCTCCGTCCGGGGTTGGGAGACTGTCGTTGTCGGCGGCGGAGAAGGATCGTTTGCGAGACGGTGAGACGAACGACGCAGGTGACATGGACGCTTGTCGGTCTGCAACATGGGTCATCGACGTGATCGGGGCGAGTCGGTTCTCGTACGAATGCGAGTCGTTGGAAGGGAGGGAGGGGCGTTGGTGTGTAGGCGGTTGGTAGCCCGCCAGGTCGGCAACCGGCGGTAAAGTTGTGTTGTGTTGACTTGAGGAGGACGGAGCTGAGGGCAGGATAGGGGGGAGGCCGTGAGGGCGAAGTCGGAGGCCGAGGTTGATAGATCCATCGTCGTTCATGCTGCCCCTTTCTGGGCTGCCCTCAGGAGCCTGACTTTGCGTTTCCGAACCGTCGTACTCCTCGTTCCAGTCGCTTCCTGCGTACGCATTTGGCATGACTCTTTTTCTCCGCTTGATGATAGATTTCTTCATGCTCACAGGCCTATGAACACCGTGCAACTTGTAGTAGAGACCTGGTCTTATCAGTACCATTCAGATGGGAGTAGGCACTGGGCTCGAACATACCGCAAGCATTACATATTGTGTGCCCGCTCTCATCCCTCCTCCAGAGCGGCGTTGTCGTGGTCCCGCAGTTCTGACAGGCTATGACAACCGTGGTGTTCTGGTTCTGGATCTGCAAAGCGGCAATGTCGATCGGAGCCGAGGGGTCGTCCACCCCCTGATCGCCCTGCTGGCCAGCGGAACCGCAACCCTGACCCTGCTGCTGGGGGTTGAGCTGTGCAGACTTCGAGACTCGGTTGTTGTAGGCGGGACACCCACCGCACCCTTCGGCGCCGCCTGTACCATTGCACTTTCCACCACCCGGGCACGTGCCGGTAGGCACCTGCTCCTCGGTGACATAGGTCGGTGCCGGCCCCCCTGGATACTTGGGTCCGGGACCTGGAGCCGGGGCGATCTTCGTTGGCGCGGCTCGCGAGTTGGCGGACACGAGTTGGGGCGGCTTCTTCTTCAGGGACGTAGGGCGCGAGGCGTTCCGTGCCTTCTGATACAGGCCGCAAGCGTTGCAGATAGTGGTACCCTGGGGCGATCTCCTCCACAAAGGGGTTTGCGTCGTTCCACAGTTGCTGCGGATGATTAGCACAACACATTGGCGACGGGCAAGTCGAGAGGTCCTACCTGCAGACCTGGCCAACATGGCCCTGCGAGGAGGCAGAGGCAGTCGTCGGTGCGGGGCTTGCGCTGACGCCAGTCCTAGTTTGCGTGGGCGACGTTCCTCCCACTTCTGATGCTGGGCTGGGCGCCTGGGAGGTCGACATGGTATCACTGGACAGGCTGCGGCGAAACTCTGCCGCACGAAGTGGTATCGTCGCTTGCTCGCCGGCTTCCCGCGTAGGTCGAGCAGATGGCCCGGGGCCGTTGATCGTGTTCTTGATGTCGTGCTGGGCCGTGGGCGACTTTCGTTGCGTAGGGAGTGCTGTTCTCGAGGTAGACGTGGAGTCCCTTTGTGCGCCATGCGCGGCAGAGCGGGCAACGTCGGACATGGCCATGTGCAAGCAGTGCTCAGTTACGAGTGGCTGCAGCAGAGAGCGGGCGCTTCGAGAAACAAAGCAACGGTTGAAGGAGGGGCTGACAAAAGGCCGATAGAAGGTCGAAGATGGAGGCGAATCGCTGAACCACAGCGAGAGACGGGCGTTGTCGTGTCGGTGTAGTACACGGACAGGGGGGGCGGTTTCGGGGGGCCAGTTGGGTGCACTGGCTATGTCGCCAGAGACGTTGGGTCCTGAGCCCCGCGTTGCAACAGACGGTGATCGGGCGGTGAGTCGTCGCTGATCACACCCGTTGCTGCCTTGGTGTACTGGACCACGGGGGCAGATGCTGCTGCTTCGCCACCAGTCACGGTTGATGAGGAAAGCCCGATTTGCGATGTCGGTACTTGTCGTCGTGAGTCCAGAAACGTGCCTACGTGGGTATCGCCACTACTGTTCCCTATAAA